GTGGGCGTGGCCTGAGCGGTGGGCGTGGCTCCAGGCCCAGCAGTGCCCCATGGCCCGGGACCCCACGGGACCCCCCCTGGGACCCCCTGGGACCCCCTGGGACCCCCATGTGTGGGGCCGGGGCCGCCCCTTGGTGCCCCACACCCCCAGCCCCGGGACATGGCGGGGGCACCGTGGGACCCCCCAGCCCCCCGGGGGCTCCCCCCCCCAGCCCCATGGCCATGGCGGTGCCGCCGTCACCTTGGTGCCGGTGTCCATGGCAGCGGGCGGCGTTGCCAGGCCGGCCGGTGGAGTGGTTGCCCCCGTGAGCAGGCCGTGAAGTGGTTGGCACGGCAACCGGCACAGGGGGGGGGCCCGGGGACGGTGACGGGGCTGACGGCCCCCCGTGGGGAGGGTCCCAGACCAGGCCGCCCGCGTCCGTCCGCTCCACGCAGAGACCCCCGGAGCCGCCTCGGGGTCCCCCCTCACGCTGAGGTTCACAGCAGGCCGAGGAGGAGGAGGAGGAGGAGGAGGAGGAGGAGGAGGAGGAGAGGCCGAAGCACCCGGCCGCCCCGCACGGCCCAGGGCGTTGGGGACCCCCCAGGGTTGTCCCCGGGATGCGGGGGGCCGAGGCCGGGCCCGCGGGGGCTTGCGGCCGCTCCGCTGACGGGGCCGTGGGGACGCGGCGGGCGCCCCGGATGAGCTAACGCCCCCCAACGTGGCGCAGCCCCGGCGCGGCCAGGGACGGGACCCGGGCGGACGAGGCGGGGGGGTGCCGGGGGGGCTCGGGGGACACAGCTTCGCCCGCCGCCTGCCCCGCGCCCACGGCTGCCCCCATGCTGGACCACAGAAGCAGGATGGAGAGCTCCCGGCAGGAGAAGGTGAGGCCCTGCGGCCGCCGGCCCAACCCACGTTGGCCTCCAGAAGGCAACGGCTGCTTCTGCCTGCTTTGGGGCTCTTTGGGGGGTCTTGGGGCTCTTTGGGGCCAGCTGAGCGGTTTGGGGCAAGGAACGAGGTCGGGAGGTTCCGAGCCAGCAGCGCACGATGAGGTTGCCTCGGGCAGAGCCACGCGGCCACAGCCGAGGCTCCAAAATCCCGAGGCCGCCCCCGTGCCCCCGTGCCTGGTGCTGGGGGTGCTGAGCACGAGCAGCAGGGAGGAACCAGGCTCCATGGGACGGCCTCGGGGCTGGGGGGGTTCCCTGCATCGGGTCACCCATGGGGACGGGGAGGCTCTGGTGCACAGCGGGACCGGGACCGTGCCGCTGTCGGGGTGCCTGCGGGGCTGGGACCGCATGAGAGCAGTGGGATAAGGGACACCGGGACGGGTGCTGGGCACCATCAGGCACCGACCAGCACCGCGGGGCGCTGGGTGTCCCCATGGGGACATCCCGGAGGGGATCCGGCCTCGATCCATCCCCCTGGAGCACCCCAGGGCAGCCGGCTTGTGGGGCCGGGCCCCTCAGCCCCACATCATCCCCAAAGCTTTAGCAGGGCCCCTCTTTGTGCTGCGCCCCAAAACCCACGGCAGGGCCGGCGCGGCCCCGAGGAAACACGCTGCTGGCGCTGACGGCGCCCGGCTCCCGGTGCCTAATGAGGCCTTTAATGCCGCGAGCAAACCTGGCCGGCCGAGCAGAAGCGCTCGGCGCCGCGGCTCCATCTGAGAGCCGGGGCCGCGGCCCCGTTACGCGCCCTGGAAATGGAGGCTGTGCCGGGAGCAGGGCCGGGGTTGCTACGCGAGGGAAAAACAGGGCCCCCGTGGGGGGCTTCCCCCGAGCGGGTTTTGGGGTGAGGAGCTCCCCCCGTGCAGGGCGAGGTGCTCCGGGCTGCGGGGCTGCAGGGATTTGGGGGATCTGTGGGGACCCCCGGGCTGCTCGGTGCGGTGCGGGGGGTGCAGGACACCCCCTAACCTCGCCGCCCCCCCCGGTGCAGGTGGAGCAGATCCTGTCGGAGTTCCGGCTGCGGGAGGAGGACCTGAAGAAGGTGATGTACCGCATGCAGAAGGAGATGGACCGGGGGCTGAAGCTGGAGACGCACGAGGAGGCCTCGGTGAAGATGCTGCCCACCTACGTCCGCTCCACGCCCGAGGGCTCCGGTAGGCGCTGCCGGGATGCGAGGGGGACGGCGCCCGGTGCTTTGCCCCCCTCCGGGAACCCCCCCTAAACCTCTCCCCCCCCCTCTTCCTGCCCCCCCCCGGTGCTGCAGAGGTCGGGGATTTCCTCTCGCTGGACCTCGGCGGCACCAACTTCCGCGTGATGCTGGTGAAGGTGGGCGAGGGGGAGGAAGGGCAGTGGAAGGTGAAGACGAAGCACCAGATGTACTCCATCCCCGAGGATGCCATGACGGGGACGGCCGAGATGGTGAGCGGGGCTAGGGGGGTGCGGGGGGCGCGGGGGTCCTCCCCACGATCCCGGGGAGGGGGGTGCCTCCGGGCAGCTCCGAGCCCCGGGAGGGGGCCCCCAGGGAGCTGCAGGACCCCGTGGAAGCGTCCCTTCAAGTGGCATCTGGATGGGGACGGGGTGGAGGGGACGTGGTGGCACTGGGGCAACGGGGACGGGGCCGTCACGGTGACAGCTCGGCCGCCCTCCCCCAGCTCTTCGACTACATCTCCGAGTGCATCTCCGATTTCCTGGACAAGCATCAGATGAAGCACAAAAAGCTGCCCCTGGGCTTCACCTTCTCCTTCCCCGTGCGGCACGAGGACATCGACAAGGTGAGGGGCCGGCAGGGTGGCACGCGGACCCGAGGTCACCGCGGTGCCTGCCCCACAGCCCACGGACCCCGCTCTGTCCCCCCCCCGGCGCAGGGCATCCTGCTGAACTGGACCAAGGGCTTCAAGCCTCCGGAGCAGAAGGGAACAACGTGGTCGGGCTCCTGCGAGACGCCATCAAACGGCGAGGGGTGAGGCTGCGTGCGTCGGTGCCCACCCCCTGTCCCCACCGTGTCCCCTGGGTCCCCCGGGAGAGGCGGCCGCATGGGTGACAGCGGCGGCTCTGACCCCCCCCCGGCAGGACTTCGAGATGGACGTGGTGGCCATGGTGAACGACACGGTGGCCACGATGATCTCCTGCTACTACGAGGACCACCGCTGCGAGGTTGGGATGATCGTGGGTAAGAGCACGGGACGTGGGTAAGGGCTGCGGGACGGCACTGGCCACCCCCTGGGGGCAAGGGGGGGGGATGTGGGGCAGGGGGCAGGCGCCCCACGGCCGGCTCCTGCGCGCAGGGACGGGCTGCAACGCCTGCTACATGGAGGAGATGCACAACGTGGAGCTGGTGGAGGGCGACGAGGGCAGGATGTGCGTCAACACCGAGTGGGGCGCGTTCGGCGCCTCGGGGGAGCTCGACGAGTTCCTCCTGGAGTACGACCGCGTGGTGGACGAGACCTCGCTTAACCCCGGTCAGCAGCTGTAAGGAGTGGGGTGGGATGCGGCTCCCCTGGGCTCCCCCCCGGCCGCGGCTCCTTCCCCCCGCCCTCCGCCGGCCGGGGGCCGCTCGTCCCGGGGCTCCGGCCCCGTTGGCGGCCCTCACGCGTCCCCCGAGCCCGGTGGCGGTGGGGACGCGCGTGGGGCCTCGCCGTGGGGTGGGAGGGGGGCGGCCCCCGTCCTGACAGCCTCCCCCCGGCCCCCAGCTACGAGAAGATCATCGGGGGGCAAGTACATGGGGGAGATCGTCCGGCTGGTGCTGCTGAAGCTGGTGGACGAGAACCTGCTCTTCAACGGAGAGGCCTCCGAGAAGCTCAAGACCCGCGGCACCTTCGAGACCCGCTTCGTGTCGCAGATCGAGAGGTACTCGGGGCCCGCGCCCCCAAAACGGCCACCCCAAAATGATGGGGGCCGTGTGCCCCCACCCCACAGCAGCTGGCTCTGATGGGGTTCCCTGTCCCATCGCCCTACACCAGCCTACAGCTGCCCCACATTGGGGTCCCCTTCCCTATCACCCCACACCAGCCCTATACAGCTGCCCCATGTTGGGGTCCCCCATTTTTTGGGGGTTCCCTCCCCCATCCCCCCCCACCAGCCCTCTACAGCCACCCCACAGCGGGGCTCCCCGTCCCATTGCCCCACATGGGGGTCCCCAGCCCCATCACCCCCCCCCACCAGCCCCAAATCAGCTGCCCACACGGGGGGTCCCCGTCCCGATGCGCCCCCCCGCTCTGCCCCGTCCCAGCGACTCGGGGGACCGCAAGCAGATCTACAACATCCTGACGGCCTTCGAGCTGCTGCCCTCGGGCACCGACTGCGACATCGTGCGGCGCGTCTGCGAGAGCGTCTCCACCCGCGCCGCCCAGATGTGCTCGGCCGGGCTGGCCGGAGTCATCAACCGCATGCGGGAGAGCCGGAGCCAGGAGACCCTCAAAATCACCGTGGGGGTCGACGGCTCCGTCTACAAGCTGCACCCCAGGTGGGACCTTTGGGAGCCTTCCTCCCGCCCCCTCCTTCCTCCTCCTCCTCCTCCTCCTCCTCGCGGCCCTGACCCTCTTTCTGTCTTTTTTTTCCCCCAAACCTGCAGCTTCAAGGACCGCTTCCACGCCACCGTCCGGCAGCTGACGCCCGGCTGCGACATCACCTTCATCCAGTCGAGGAAGGCAGCGGGCGAGGCGCCGCGCTCATCTCGGCCGTCGCCTGCAAAATGGCCTGCATGATGGGGCAGTGAGCGCAGGACCTGGGGGCGGCGGGGACCCCCCGCGCTGCCGGGGGGGGCGCGCAGGGCGCCCAGGAGCGCAGACGGACGCGGGGAGGGCTTGGCCGCGGGAGGCGACGGCGGCCGGGGATGGGGCCCCCCCCAATAAAGCGGGGCCCCCCCAATAACGGGGTTTGCCTGGACTGCTCCTCGCTGGCCGCCCGCTGCTGACTCAGCTGAGGGTCTTCCCTGTGCTGGGGGGGCACCAGGGGGCACTGTGGGATGGGGGGGGGACAGGGGGGGCTGGCACCCCTTGGGGAGCCCGCGGTGGGGCCCGGCTGGCCTTGTCCCCATGTGTCACCCCCGTGTCCCCCCCCCCCCCAGAGAGCCCAGAAAGGACAGACCGAGCTGGGGGCAAAGGGGACCGACCCCCCCCCATCCACGGGGAGGTGCCACCTCCTTCCCCCCACAGGGCCAGGTCCGTGTGCCCCCAAAGCAGCGCCCCACAACCCCAAACCCAAATAGTGCCCCCGTGTGCGTCCCCCCCCCCAGCCTGTGTTGGTGACAGCCCTGCGGTGCCAGCATCTGCCCCCCCCCCCCATTTACCTGGTTTAGGGGGCTAAAAGGGGGGGGGGACCCCCAGCCCGGAGCGGGGCCAGTGGCACAGGGGGGGAGCAGCCTGGTGCCGTGGGGCCACCTTGGGGCTCCCCTGGGTGTCGGGGGCACCCTGGGGTCAGGGACCCCCAAAGGAGCCCCATGGGGCTGGGGGCACCTTGGGGGGGCTGGGGGCACCCCAGGGTATGGGACCACCGTGGGAGTCTGCCCCCCATCACTGTGCTCCCCCCATCACCGTGCCCCCTCTGTCACTGTGCCCCCCCCAGCCCAAACTGCGTGGCCCTGCGCCCCCCGTGTCCCCCCCGTGCCCCCACACACCCAGCTCCTCCCCAAAATCCCCATGCGCCCCCCCATCCTGCGTCACCGAGCTCACCGTGTGGCAGCCCCTGTCCCCAGGGTCCCCGTGAGCCCCCCCACACCCCCCCTGTCCCCACGATGGGGCCGGGGGAGCCCCGCAGGGACCCATCGCAGCCCCCCCCGATCACAAATCCCCGTGCAGGACGCTCACGGGGACGCCCCTCGATGTGCCAGGACCATCCCGAGCTGCGTCACCTCCCATGGTGACGAGAAAAAGGAGTGTGTGTGTGTGGGGGGGGGGGACACGTTTCCCCCCACCTCAGCCAAATAAAACCCGAAATGACGGGCTGCATCCTCCGGAGAGGTGGCGGTGGGGACGAGCTGCTTTATTGCGTGGGGACAATGTGGGGGGGGGGGAAAAAGGGAGGCTGGGGGCAGGTGGAGGCTGGCGACGGGGCTGGGGGCCCCCTTCAGCTTTCGGGGTTCAGCAGCGGCGGTCAGAGCCCTGAGGAGACAAAATGGGGGCGGCGGTGACTTGGGGCACCCCTCACCCCCCCTCCTCCAGCCCCGGCGGATGCGGCTCCCCCACCGAATTTCCCCGCGGCACGTTTTGGGCCCCCCCCCTCTCCACACCTCCGCCCTCCCTGCGCACGGGGGGCACGTGCAGCCGGCCCCGGGGTGGGGGTGAGTGGGGGGCAGGCGCAGGATGCGTGGCGCAGGATGTGGGCTCTCACCGGCCGCGCAGCCCTTGCAGAACTTGAGGTTGGTGCAGACGTCCTCGGGGTCGTCGTCGTTCTGCAGCGCCTCGGCGATCTGCGAGCCGAATTTCTTCACCATGGCCTTGCACACCCGGCCCAGCCCCTTCATGGCGCCGCACACCTTCCGCAGCGCCGCCTTCACCGTCTCCTGCGGGCACCAACCCCGTGCCGTCAGCGGGGCCGCGGTCACCGGACCCCCTCCACGCCCCCCCGGCTCGCCCCGAGCCCCCCTCACCTCATCGGGGTCGTCCCCCACCATTTTCTTCAGCTGCTGCAGGACCTTGGTGCAGATGCTGCATTTCTTCCCCTTGCCCGGCGCCGCCGCGTCCCCTTCGTCCTCATCCCACTGCGGGGACAACGCGGACCCTCAGGGTGGTGCCGGGTGTCCCCCTCCCAACCCCACCCCACCCCACGCCACGACCCAAGGGGGGGCTGCCCCACAGCCCCGGGGCTCGTCCTCACCGTGCCCAGGCTGTCCCAGAGGTAGCGGCACTGCTGCTCCTTCTGGCACCGCACGGCCGTGGCCATGTCGCGGCACCAGGACGCGGGGCCGCCCTGGCACGGGTCGGTCACCTCCTCCGCCTGTGTGACTGCGGGGGGAACGAGGGGGTTAATAGGGACACCCCGCGGCCACCCCATAGCTGCCCCATGGCCACCTCATGGCCACCCCATAGCTGCCCCATGGCCACCCCATAATCACCCCATAGCTGCCCCATGGCCACCCCACGGCCACTTCATAGCTCCCCCCATGGCCACCCCATAATCACCCCATAGCTGCCCTCATGGCCACCCCATAACCACCCCATAGCTGCCCCCATGGCCACCCCATAGCTGCCCTCATGGCCACCTCATGGCCACCCCATAGCCACCCCCATGGCCACCCCATAGCTGCCCCCATAGCCACCCCATAACCACCCCATAGCTGCCCCATGGCCACCCCATAACCACCCCATAGCTGCCCCATGGCCACCCCATAGCTGCCCTACAGCCACCCCCCAGCAGGATGCATCCCACACCACTCCCCACAGCCCCCGTGTGCCCCAGGTGTCCCCACAGCCCCCCATGTCCACGTCCCCATGCAGTCCCACACCCCCAGTGCCACCCCTGGTGCCCCCCCGGTGCCCCCACCCCACGGTGCCGCTGTCCCCACACCACGCAGCCCCCGGGGGCCACAAGCAGGAGGGTCCCAGCCCCGTACCTGCCAGCAGGGCGAGGAGCAGGATGAAGGCAGCGGCCATGGTGACCCCCCCAGCACCGAACCCAGCGGGTGCCGGCCCCGTGCCCCACCCCGGGGCTTTTATAGCCCCCCAGGAGCCGGCAGCGGGGCCGCCGGAGCCACTCAGCGTCGCCGAAACCCACCGAGGCCTTAAAATGGAGCGGGGCCCGCGCCTCGCAGCCACACACCTCCGCCCCCAGCCTCGCCACGGCAGGAAGCGGCCGGGGGGGGGGCCAAAATCACCGGGGGGGGGGCTCAGAAAGTATAGGGGGGGGCTGACACCTGTGGGGGGGGGGCTCTGACATCCATGGCGGGGGGACAAAGCCTGGGGGATGCCCAAAAAACATGGGGGGAGGGCGGATGTAACACCCCTGGGGGGCTCTGATGGCCCTGGGGGAGGGCAAAAACCTGGGGGGGGCAAAAGTCATGAGGGGGGGCTCCAAAACACTGGGGGGGGGGGGGGGGTAAAAACCTGGGGGGTCCCAAAAACCATGGGGAGAGCTGACACCCCCAGGGAGGGCTCAAAAACCTGGGGGGGGGGGTCAAAAAATCCGTGGGGCTCTGACACCCATGGGAGGGGGGGCAAAAACCTGGGGGATGCCCAAAACCATGGGGGGGGGGGGGGGCCTGACACCCCTGGAGGGGCTCTGACACCCCCGGGGGGGGGCTCAAAAACCCGGGGGAGGGGGGCAAAAACCCTGGGGGGCTCTGACACCTGGGGGGGGGCTCTGATATCCTGGGGGGGGTGTCCAAAACCCGGGGGGGGGGTCCCAACACCCTCAGGATGGGCTCCAACACCCCGGGGGGGGGGGTCCAACACTTCTGGGGGTCTTAAAACCCCTGGGGGGGGGCGCAGACCCCATGGGGGGGCTCCAACACACCTATAAGAGCCCTGACACCCCCGGGGGGGCCAAAAACCAGCGGGGGGGGGCAACAAACAGGGTGGGGGGGGCACTGACACTACTGGGGGGCCCCAGCAGCCGTGGGGGTCCCGAAACCCCCCTGGGGGGGGGGCGCAGACCCCATGGGGGGGGGGGGGCAAACCCCCGGGGGGGGCACGGACACGAGCGGCGCCGCCCCCCCCCAAAAAAAAAAAAAATAAAATTAATTTTCAGGTCTCGGACACGGGGCAGGAAGCGGGGGGGGGGGGGGGCTGGGGGGGCTCAGCCCCTTGGGCCCAGGCCTCGCTCCCCGTTGCCATGGGAACGGCGCAACCGCCCCCTCGGTTGCCATGGCGCCCCCGCCGCCGTGACGTCACTTCCGCCTTGAGGTTACGCCGCTTCCGGGCCCGGTTCCCGCCATTCCCCGCCCCCCCCCCCCCTTGTTCCCCCCCCCCCCGGTCCCCTCCGCGCCGCGAGCAGCCGGGCCCGGGCCCCCCCCGCCCCCTGACCTCTGACCTCTGACCCCGTACGGCACGGGGGGGGTGAGGGGGGGGGGCTCGGTGCCCCGGGGGGGGGGCTCCCGGTATTTGGGGGGGGGTCCCGGTGTACGGGGGGGGGGGTCCCAGCGCCCTGGGGGGGTCCCGGTTGGTTTGGGGGGGGGGTGCGGTGATTGAGGGGGGGTCTCTGTGTTTGTTGGGGGGGGTCCTGGTGTCCTGGGGGGGGTCCTGGTTCCTTTGGGGGGGGTCCCGATATTTGGGGGGGGGGTCCCGGTGCACGGGGTGGGTCCCAGTTGGTTGGGGGGGGGGGGGACAGTGTTTGAGGGGAGGGGGCTCTGTGTTTTGGGGGGGGGTCCTGGTATTTGGGGGGGGTCCCAGTATTTGGGGGGGAGGGTCCCAGCGCCCTGGGGGGGTCCCGGTTGGTTTGGGGGGGGGCGGTGTTTGAGGGGGGGTCTCACAGTGTTTGAAGGGGGGGGGGGTCCCGGTGTCCTGGGGGGGGTTTCTGGTTGGTTTGGGGGGGGGTCCTGATGCCCTGGGGGGGGGCTGGGTGGATTGGGGGGGGTCCCACTTGGCCTTGGGGGTCCCGGTGTTTGAGGGAGGGGGGTCCTGGTGTATGGGGGGGGGCTGTTGGTTTTGGGGGTCCTGGGGTTTAGGGGGGGTGTTCGGGGGGTCCTGGTGTTTGTGGGGGGGGTCCCAATGTTTGGGGGGAAGGGGTTGCTGGTGTCCTTGGGGGGGGGGCGGCCCTGGTGTTTGGGGGGGGTCCCGATGTCCTGGGGCAGGCTGCTGGTGGGGGGGGGGGGGTCCCAAGGAATATTTGGGGGGGGCCCAAGGGGTGTGGGGGGGTCCCTGGGAGGGGTTTCTGGAGGATCCTGGTCCTTGGGGGGGGGGTTGTGGTGTCTCTGGGGGGGGGCTCCTGCTGATGGGGGGGGGTCCCAGTGTTTGGAGGGGGGGGTCCTGGTGTCCTGGGGGGGGGGCTGGTGTGCTTGGGGGGTGGGGGGTGGACAGAAGGGCCAGGCCTTGGGGGGGTCCCAGGTGGATTTTCGGGCTGGGGGGGGGGCTTCTGAGGGCTGGGCAGCACAGATCGGGGCTCATTTCGGGATCCTCACTCTCCTTTTTTCCCCCCCCCCCCCAGCTCGGCCATGTTCTCATCGGTCGCGGCCCCCCCGGCGCAGGCGCTGCTGTCCCCCCCCCTCGGGGCCGGCCCCCACCTTCTCCCGGGCGGGCAGCGCCTTCGCCGACCGCTCGCAGCCCTTCGTGCTGGGGGAGCGCAGCTTCAGCCGCCAGTACGCCCACCTCTACGCCGCCCGCCTGCTCTGCATGCGGCCCCGCCTGGCGCAGCGGGCGCAGCAGCGATGGGGTGAGCCCCCCCCCCCCCCCAAAAAAAAAAAAAAACACACAAAAAAAACCCCCAAACCCAAAAAAACCCACCCAAACCCCGACCCCCGGCAGCCCCCCAGCCTCCTTCCTTCCTCCGCCGCGCTGTGGCCCCCGGCTGATTTTTGGCCGGGGAGGCCGTGGGGGGAGGATGGAGGATGTGCCCCCCCCCTCTGTAACCACCCTGTTGTGGCGGGGGGGTTGGCAGCGAGCAGCCAGAGCGGGTTTTTTGGTTGTTTTCCCGATTTTTTCCTCCTTTCTCCCCAAAGCCTCCGCATTCCTGGCGGCGCTGACGCCGTTCCCAGCCCGCGGCTGCCCTCCTTGCCCCCCCCCCACCCCGTCCCCAAACCCCGTGGGGACAAAAAACCCCATCCCCAAGCCCGGGGGGGCTCCTCGAGCTGTTTTCCACATGGGGGGGCGAGGTGCGAGGGCTGGGGGCTGGAAGCAGGGCGAGGACACGGGGAGGGTCCCTGGCCATGGGGGGGCTTCCCTCGACCTCCCCCTTTTGTTGTTCCTGCTGGAGCAGGACGAGCCGTTTGCTCTGGGATGAATTTAGGGAACGGTCCCCATTTTGGGGGGGGGGGGGGAAGAGGCCCTGGGGCTGACCCCCCCCCTGTCCCCGCAGGCAGCGGCGTGGCGCTGCGGAAGCTGTGCGAGCTGCGGGCAGGGGAGCGCTGCTGCGTGGTGGGGACGCTCTTCAAGGCCATGCAGCTGCAGCCCTCCATCCTGCAGGAGATCAGCGAGGAGGTGAGGCGGCACCGTGCCCCCCGGGGAGCTGGGGGGGGGGGGGGGGGGACGCGGGGGGGGCTGGTGGGGCCGGGCTGGCCTCTCCCTCCCTGGCTGAGCCGCTTCCTCCTTGGCCGACGGCCGCGGCGCTGCTGGCGTCGCGGGGAAGCACTAAGTGGAAACAGCCCCGAGAGGCACGCAGCTGGACGGCGGCCCCGAGGGCGGCCGGGCCTCTTCTGGGGGCTGCACCCGCCTGCCCGGACCCCCAAAAAACGCCCCCCCCCACTTGTGGGGTCCCCCTGTGCAGCACAACCTGGTGCCCCAGCCGCCCATGCCCAAGTACGTGCACCCCTCGGACGAGCTGATCCTGGAGGACGAGCTGCAGCGCATCAAGCTGGTGGGGGACATCGAGGTGGCCAAGCTGGTGACAGGTAGGACACGGCGCTTGGGGACGGGCTGGGCACTGCCAGCACCGCCACGGCTGAGCGCCGAGCCCCCCCCACAGGCACCATCCTCGCCGTGTACGGCAGCGAGCAGGAGGACGGCGGCTTCCTGGTGGAAGAGCTCTGCTTCGCTGGGCTGCCACAGCCCCTGCCCTGGGCGGGCCCCAGCTCGGATAGGTGAGTCCCCACCGTGTCCCCATCGTGTCCCCGCTGTGTCCCGGTGCTCTGGGGACCACCGGAGGCTCCCCCTGTGCTGCCCACCCTCTCCTCGCCCAGGTTCGTGCTGTTGGCCTCGGGGCTGGGGCTGGGCAGCGGCAGCGGCGAGTCCCTGCTGGGCACCCAGCTGCTGGTGGACGCGGTGACGGGGCAGCTGGGCGCCGAGGGCCAGCAGAGCTGCGCCGCGCTCATCTCCCGCGTCATCCTGGCGGGGAACCTGCTGAGCCAGAGCACACAGAGCCGGGACAGCCTCCACAAGGTGCTGGGGGGCCCGGTAAGGGCTGGGAACGGGGTTTTGGGGGACGTGGAGGGGTCTCACCGCCTCCCCGCCACCGCAGGCCCGGTACTTGACGAGGAAGACGCAGGCTGCGAGCGTGGAAGCTGTGAAGATGCTGGATGAGATCCTGCTGCAGCTCTGCGTGAGTGCCCAGGGCCTGATGTTGGTGCCGGGGTGGGAGAGCAGCCCCCAGAGCCCCTCGGCGTGGGGGAGCGGGCGGTGGTCCCCCCCCCCACAGCCCCCGCTGTGCCCCGCAGACCTCCGTGCCCGTGGACGTGATGCCCGGGGAGTTCGACCCCACCAACTACACGCTGCCGCAGCAGCCGCTGCACCACTGCATGCTGCCCCTCGCCAGCGCCTACTCCACGCTGCAGCTGGTCACCAACCCCTACCAGGCCGACGTGGACGGCGTCAGGTGGGGACCAACGTGCCACCGGGGCCGTGACAGCCGCCGGGGACAAGGGGGAGTTGGGGACAAGTCGCACCGAGCACGGGGCTGCCCTTCCTTCCCCCAAAACGTAGGTTTCTGGGGACGTCGGGGCAAAACATCAGTGACATCTTCAAGTACAGCAGCATGGACGACTACCTGGAGATCCTGGAGTGGACGCTGCGGGCGGGACACATCAGCCCCACGGCGCCGGACACCCTGGGTAAGGGGGGGGCACCGCCGTGCTGCCCCGAGGCGGGGGCTGCGGGGCTCCGAGCGCCCCGTGGGGGGGCTGCGGGGACGGGTTCCCCTCCTCACCTCCGCCCCCACAGCCTGCTACCCCTTCTACAAGTCGGATCCCTTCATCCTCACCGAGTGCCCTCACGTCTACTTCTGCGGCAGCGCGCCCCGCTTCCAGTCCAAGGTGATCACGGGTGAGTCCCGGCCCCGGCCTCGCTCGCAGCCGCAGCGGGGCTGGCGCCTGACGCCCGCCTGTCCCCGCAGGGGACGAGGGGCAGCGGGTCCTGCTGGTGGCCGTGCCCGCCTTCAGCACCACGCAGACCGCCTGCCTGGTCAACCTGCGCGACCTCAGCTGCCAGCCCATCAGCTTCTCTGGCTTCGGGGCCGAGGACGATGCCGGGGACATGGAGGTCGGGCAGTGACGGCGCGGCACGGACTCTGCCGGCACACGGAGCCGCGGAGCTGCCGCGGTGCGGGGCCAGCAGCCGCTGGGAGAAGCCACGCGGCGCTGCTACCAATACAGCTTGGTTTATTTGTGTAACAAAACCGCGTGGAGGGGACTGGGCTGGCGCTGCGAGGGCCCTGCCCTGGGGAGCGCGACCGCCCCGGCTGAGCCGTGGTGCCGGGGACCCGGGCTGCGTCCTCCTCGCCCGGCCGCGGTGGCACCGCTGGGTCCCTGTGGCCAGGGCCATGCGTCCTCGCCCGAGCCCAGCCCGGGGGACGCGCTGCAGCTGCCGGCCTTCGGGGCAGGCGTCGGGGTGGCGTGGCCGTGGTCCTGGCAAGCGAGGCGGGTGGGAGCTGCAGCCTGCCCGGCGCGGGCGAGGAGTGCTGTGGAAGCGGGTGGCGGCGCCTGCAGCGGGCGAAACTCGACCAAGCGCGAGCGCCTGGAGGCAGGAGCGAGGGGACGGGCGTCCCCTAGTCGCCAAAGTTCACGGTGTAGGTCTCGGCCGTGGTGAAGGGCTGCTCCGTCCCCGTGCCCACCTCCCAAGCCTCCGTCTCCGTCACCAGCTCGGTCACCACCTCCGTTTCGGTCTCCATCTCCCAGGTGCCGGCGGTGGGAGGCTCCTGGCTCCAGGGCGCGTAGGTGGTGCTGCTGAAGGGGCCGGGCAGAGCCGTGGTGGGCGCCGGGGGGGCCGTGGGGCCGTGGGTGGTGGTGGTGGCGTTGAGGCGCCGCAGCCTCATCTGCTGCCGGAGCCGCATGCGGTGCCGCAGGCGCTGGCGCAGCCGCAGGTGCTCGCGGGGCGTCATGGGGCGGCCGGGCACGATGCGGCGGATGGGCCGGTTGCCGTTCATGGCCATGATCTCGCGGATGCGCTTCCAGTTGGAGCGCGACAGCACGAAGTTGCACTGGGTGGCCCGATGTCGTAGAAGACGCTGCAGGTCTTGACGCTGGGGTTGTAGCCCTCGGCGCGGGCCGACACGCGGTACTCGCCGGGGTTCAGGATGCGCCAGTAGTCCCCGCCGCTGGCTGCGGACGGCGAGGGGAGGTGAGGGGGGGGCTGCGGAGCGGGGCCGCGGCGCCCTCGCCTCCCCCCGGCCCCCTACCTGTCTTGACGTTGTGCTTGATGCCCCCCACGACGATGGTGGCGTTGGCGATGGGCTCTCCCTGCTGGTCCGTCACCAGGCCCTTGATGCCGCGGTGAACCTGCGCGGAGGAAGGGGGCGAGGGGAGCGCGTGGAGCTGGCGGGGCGGACCCCGGCTCCTGGCGCACGCACGGCCCCGCGCCTACCTGCTCCATGAAGGTGAGCAGCGACTCCTTGTTGTTCTCCCACTCCTGCTGCAGCTCGCTCTCATGCGGGAACTTGTCGCAGCCCAGGTAGACGGAGAGCTCCAGGCAGTTGGTGTGCAGGTAGCTGAAGTCGTTCATGGCTGCCAAAAACCCAGCCGAGGGCCCGTTGGCACGCGGTCACCCTCGCCCACCCGGCGGCTCGCTGGCACGGCACGGCCCCCACTTACTGCCGGCCCGGGGGCGCCACTTGGCCCCCTGCACGATGCCCATGGAGTCGGTCATGTCCTGCGTGTGGCAGCCCCCGCGGAAGGTCTCGGTCATGGTGAGGTGGGCCGAGGCGTAGGAGATGGCGAGCCAGCGGAAGATGGCGTGGTCGGGGGTCTCGTGCAGCTCGGGGTTGTCGTCCTCGTAGTCATCCGGGGGGCGCGGGGCGGCCGGGGTCTCGCTGGGGGGCCGGGCCGCGTCGAAGGGGGTAGGACACCAGCTTCTCCCCGCCCTGCAGGTTGGCTCCCAGCACGAAGGGGTTCTTCTCCATCCAGGCCATGATGGCGCGCGTCTCCACCGCCACCTGTGCACGGGGGCTGTGACACCCGGCCCCTCGCCACCCCCAACACCACAGACCCCTCTGGGCGCCCCCCGCTCACCGTGGCGTCCTCCTCCAGGTAGTGCTGTGGGACGGGGATGTGGTGGCTGGGGAAGCGGTGCGGCACCAGCTTCCGCTCCTCGGCTGCCCACAGCGGCGAGGCCAGGTCGGGGAAGTTCTCGAAGAGGTCGTAGCCCTCCTCCGTCCAGTGGCCCAGCGCCCAGTTGCCCAGCTCGGAGCCCTGCGGGTGGCGGGGACCGGTGGTGAGCCCCCGGTGGCGCCGATGTCCCCGGTGACACCACCCCAGTGCCACCACCCCGGTGCCGTCCCCGCTGCTCACCGCCTCGCGGGCCAGCTCGTAGCCGTCGGGGTTGAGGGAGGGCACGAGGTGGATGCGGGTTTCGGTCACCAGGCTCCGCACGCGGGGGTTGCCGTCCTGGTACTCCTTGCAGAGGAACTGCATCAGCAGCAGCAGCAGCTCCCGGCCCAGCACCCTCGTTCCCGTGCAGCCCCGCCGTGTACCTGAACTCGGGCTCGCCTGCAGGACGGGCAGCGTCACGGCACGGCCGCCCCCTCCCCGTGTCCCCCGTCCCCTCCCCGTGTCCCCACATCCCCTGCTTTGCCTCCACCGTCTCGTGCTCGCCGGGGTTGTCGGAGATCTCCATGGCGTAGATCTTCAGCCCCCGCGAGCTCTTGCCGATGTTGTAGATGCGGGTGATGGTCGGGCACTCCTCGTTCACCACCTTCATGAGCTGAGGGCGCAAGGGGCGAGCTCTGGGGCACGGGACGGGGAGGGGACGGTGCCCCCCCTGCCCCCTTGGGGTGCCCCCGCGCTCACCTGCCTCATGTCCTTGTAGCTGTTGGTGGCGGAAATCAGGTTGTCGGCGGAGGTCACCTCGTTTCCTGCTGGCTGTAGTAGCTGCTGATGGCTGCGGAGGGGACGGCGATGTGGCCCTGGGGACCGAGCGGCTGCCAACCCCCCTGCCGTTGTCCCCCCCCCACCATCACCCCCCCTCTTACTGGAAGAGGGGACAGCCAGGACCTACAGGCGCAGGCAGAAGGGCTCCCGTCCACGTCGCGGGTTAGATGCGGATTGTAGCGCGCCCACCACGGTGCGTCGGGGGGAACTCGGTCAGCACCGGCCGTGTCCTTGTCCACGTTGCCACTAAAACATCTGGGGAGGGGACACGTGGGGGTGGCGCGGGTCCCCAGAGCCACCCCCAGGCACCCCCCCCGGGCCACGCACCATCTCCTCGTAGCCGTTGGTGTACATGGTCCAGCTCTGGCTGTCGTTGCTGAAGCCACGTAGAATTTGGTGACCAAAAGTCCTCATGCGGGAGGGAAGGGGACAGTGCCTGGGGGTGGCTGCCACCCCCCCACCGCCCCACTGCTGGCCCCGGGGCCACCCCCCCCCCCCCCCACCTCCCCATCCTGCCCCCATTCTCCTACTGGATCTGGGAGTCGCGCCCTTGGGTGATGACGCCGGTGAACTTGGTGGTGCGGCGCGTGTCCACCTCCAGCCAGTGCGCACGGCTGTCGTCCTCGGCACACCACGCGCCGTCGAAGAAATCGTCCTCGTTGGCGCCCGCCTGGGGACAGCGAGGGGACAGCAAAGGTGGCATGGGGGGGGGGCACCCCACAGGGACAAGGACGGGGATGGGGACGGGGATGGGGACGGACGCCCCACCTGCATGTTGAGGCGGCCGCGCTGCGCGCCCAGCCCGTTGGCGCAGCATGGAGGAGGCCAGGATCTGGTCGTCCTCGATGCGGTGGGACTCCAGCCCGATGGGGGGACACTCTGGGTGGGGGGACATGGCACAGCGTCAGTGTCCCCCCCCCCAAGCCCCAGTAACCGCTTCCCCCCTGCCCCCCGGGACGGGGACACTCACTGTCTTCTCCTCCGGCGGTGCCCACTCGTCCTCATCCGTTTCCCACTTCTTCCCCCCTGGTTTTTTGGGTTTTCCTGGAAAACGGGGGCGAGGTGAGGGGGCAGAGCCGGGGTGTGGGGGGGGACACGGGGCAGGGGCCCCCTACCCGCACCCACCTTTGCGGTCCCGGCCCTTCTCCTCCACCAGGTCTCCTCCTCCTCCTCCTTGCTGCCGCCGCCGCCTTTCTTGGGTTTCCCTGGCAGGGGAGAGCAGCCGTCGGGGATGGGGATGGGGACAGGGACGGGGACAGGGACAGGGACAGTTATGGGGGCCATGCTGTGCCACCCCCCAGCCTCTCACAGGGTTTCAGTTTCTCCTCGTCCGTCTCCATCTCCTCCTCTTTCTCTGGCTGCTTCTTGGGTTGGGTGGCGGGGGCAGCCCGTAGTCAACTGCGAGGTGGAACAGGGCTGGGACGCCCCTTTGGGACCTGGGGGGCCAGCCCGCAGCCCCACAGAGCCCCCACCAGGGGCAGGGGTGCCCTGCCCCCCCCCCAGCTCATCACTCACGGTCATCGTAGTTGGGTCGCTCGAAGCCCTCCTCGTAGTCCCCCTCGGTCACAGGGGCAGGGCAGCGGGGCAGGGGGCTCCTCCGGCTTGGCTGGGGGTGGCAAGAGGGTTTGGGGGTGCCCCTGTGGGGTCCTTTATGCCTCTGTGGGGTCGCTGTATCCTTATGGGGTCTCCGGTGCTTCCATAGGGTTCACCATGCCCCTATGGGCTCCTCTCTGTCCCCTGTAGCTCCCATGAGGTCCCCAAGCCCCTTTTGCAGTCCCCATGGCCCTGAATAAGCCCCCGTGTCCCCATAAGCCCCCTCAAGCCCCTATGGGGTCCCCACGGCCTTGAATGAGCCCACATGGCCCATGAGATGCCTCAAGCCCCTATGGGGTCCCCATATCCCCCTGAGATCCCTCAAGCCCCTGGGGAGTCCCCATTCCCCTATGGGGTCCCCATGCTCCTGAATAAGCCCCCGTGTCCCCCATGGGATCCCTCGAGCCCCTGTGGCGTCCCCATGCCCCTCTGGGGTCCCCGTGTCCCCACGGCGTCCCCCTGCACCCCTCACATTGCCCCATCCATCCCTGCTGTCCCCATGCCCGTCCCAGCCCTGGGCGCCCAAAACGATGTGCCGCCCCCCACCTGGGACTGGGGACCCCCCCGCCAGCCCCCTTTGTCCCCCTTTGTCCCCCTGTCACCGCACTGACGTGGTGGCGTCTCCGGCTGGGGCCAGACTCGCTCGGGTTTCTTCCTGCTGGGGGGCTTGCGGGGTTTCTGATGCCGCCGAATGACTCGACTGGGGACAGGGGGGGCAATGACTGAGGGGGTGCGAGGCGGAGGGGAAGGGGGGAGCGTCTGTGGTGTCCCCCCCCCAGCCATCCCAGGGGACCCCATCGGTCCCCGCTGCCCCCCCGGCACCGTACAGTCTCGTAGTCCTCCCGCTCCAGCTGCTCGTTGTAGTCCAGCGTCGGCGGCCGGCTCCGCGGGGACCTTGCGGGGGGGACACGGGGACGTGGGACACGGGGGGGTGGCACCGGGTGACGGTGAAGGGGGAGGTGGCACAGGGATGCTTGGGTGGCATCGGGAGGCAGGGAGGTGGCAGCAGGGCAAGGGGAGGTGGTGACAGGACGTGGGGTGGTGGCACTGGGATGCTGGGGGTGACACTGGGACACGGGGAGGTGGCACTGGGAAGCAGGGAGGTGGCAGCAGGTCACTGGGAGGTGACACGGGGGATCAGGGAACGGCACTAGGGACACAGGGAGGTGGCACTGGGGATCAGGGGACAGCACTGGGATGGAGGGAGGTGGCACCAGAGGGGTGGCACTGGGACACAGCAAGAGGACGCGGGGGGACAGGGGGTGGCACTGGGATGCCAGGAGGTGGGCAGCAGGTCACTGGGAGATGACGGAGGGGACCAGGGAGTGGCACTGGGGACACAGGGAGGGGGCACTGGGGGTCAGGGTGGCACTGGGATGCCGGGAGGTGGCAGCAGGTCACTGGGACATGACACAGGGATCAGAATGGTGGCAGTGGGGACACAGGGAGGGGTTACTGGGGATCAGAGGGGTGGCACTGGGATGCGGGAGGTGGCACTGGGACGCAGTGGGTGGCTGGGGCTCTCACCAGCCTCGGGAGGGGGTGCCAGTCCTCCCCCCCCAGCTCCCAGCGCTCCGTCGGCAGCTCCTCCAGCCCGCCTGGGGACAGGGACACGCAGAGGGGGGGCAGCGCTGGCGTCCCCAGCCCACCCCCAGCCCCCCCCCCCCCAGCGAGGGGACCCCAGGGAGGAAGGAGAGGGGGACAAGGGGTAGAATGGGGGTGGCCCCGGCCACACCATGCGCCCCCCCTGGGGGACAAAGCAGTGGGGAGCCGAGGGGACGCGGTGACAAGCGCTCAGCACAGGACGGGACCCCCGGTGTCCCCCCGCTCACCTCGGTCTCTGCCATCCTCCTCCTCTCCTCAGGGACCGCGGCTGCCCTGGGACAGGAGTCCCCTCTCTGTCTCGCCCCGCGGGGGGTGCGGGGCCAGGGGGCTCCCAGGGGGTGTCCGGTGGCTCCGGGGCCTCGTGCCCGAGGGCTTCTTGGTGGCCTTGGGTGGCTTCTCCTTGGGTGGTTCTCCTTGGGCGGCTTCTCCTTGGGCTTCTTGGAGCCTTTTGGGGGTTCTCGGAGCCTTTGGGGGTTTCTCGGAGCCTTTTGGGGTCTTCTCCTTGGCTCTTGGGGGGCTTGTCCCCGTCCTGGCTCTTGCCTGTTGTCCCGCTCCTTGTCTGTCCCCTCCTTGTCCTTCTTGGAGCCCCGCGCTCTCTCCTTGGGCTTTTTGGTGGGTTTTGGAGCTTTTCCTTCCGGCCCTTCTTGGGCGCTTCGGGCTCCGGCAGCCGCCCTGGAGGGTCTGGGGGGGGGCGGCTCGTGTCGGGGGGGGGGTGGGTAGGGACAGGACAGCCCCGGCCGGGCACTCCCAACCCAGCACCCCCAGCCCAGCACCCCCCAGTGCCCCATCACTGCGCCCCCCGTTGTCCCCCCCTCCCCAATCCTCTCCCCGCTCCTCCGGTACCGGGCACCCAGCAGCCCCCCTCACCGGTGCTCAGCCCGGTGCCGGGTGCCCTGCTCGGTGGCGAAGCCCGGCTCGGTGCCATCCCCGTCCCCGTCCCCGTCGCCGTCGCCGTCGCCGTCGCGGTCCCCGGTCGGCCCGAGGGAAGCCTGAGGAACGCCTCAGAGCTGGGAGCGTCCGGGAGGGGGACTAGGAGCGCTGGGGTGCTGCTGGGGGGGGACTGGGAGTGCTGGGATCCTCTGGGGGGAACTGGGAGCACTGGGATCTTCCTGAGGGGGGAACTGGGAGCGCTGGGATGCTCCGGGGGGGTAAACTGGGAGACTGGGATCCTCTGGGGGGGAAAACTGGGAGCACTGGGATCCTCCTGAGGGCAAACTGGGAGCACTGGGATCCTCCTGGGGGGGAACTGGGAGCACTGGGATCCTCCTGAGGGCAAACTGGGAGCACTGGGATCCTCCTGGGGGGGGAACTGGGGCACTGGGATCCTCATGAGGGGGAACTGGGAGCACTGTATCCCCCTGGGGGGGAACTGGAGCACTGGGATCCTCATGGGGGGAACTGGGAGCACTGGATCCTCCTGGGGGGACAAACTGGGAGCACTGGGATCCTCCTGGGGGGGGAACTGGGAGCACTGGGATCCTCCTGGGGGGGGAACTGGGAGCACTGGGATCCTCCTGGGGGGGGGGGGGACTGGAGTGCTGGGATCTTCCTGGGGGCAAACTGGGAGCACTGGGATCCTCTGGGGCGTGGGCATTGGGAGCACCAGGATCCTCCTGATGGGGCAAACTGAGAGCACTGGGATCCTCCAGGGGGTAAACTGGGAGAACTGGGATGTTCTGGGGGGGGGGGGGGAGAACAAACTGGGAGCACTGGGATCCTCCTAGGATGGGGGCAAACCGGGAGTGCTGGGGTCCTCCTGGTGGGCAGGGGCACTGGGAGCACTGGGATCCTCATGGAGGGAAGAAGAGGGAACTGGGAGCACTGGGATCCTCCAGGGGGTAGAGGTGGGCAAACTGGGAGCAGAGATACTCGGGGGGGGGGGAGGGCACTGGGAGCACTGAGATCCTCTGGGGGACAGGGGGAGGAACTGGGAGCACTGGGGTCCTCCTGGGGGTCCCCAAAAATTGGGGTGCTGGGGAGGGGCAGGGGGACATTCCCCAAACTGGGAGCACTGGGACTGACCCGGAGTGGCTGCCCCCAAACTGGGAGCACTGGGGTCCTCCTTGGGACATGGGTATTCCCCAAACTGGGAGCACTGGGGTGCTCCCCATGTGGGCGTCACCCATACTGGGAGCACTGGGGTGCTGCGGGGGGGGGGATTCCCCAGGCTGGGGGCACTGGGACATTTTCGGGGGTATCTCCCAAACTGGGAGCACTGGAGCCCACCCGCAGCTGGGCACCCCCAAACTGGGAGCACTGGAATGGCATGGCACCCCCACCCTACTGGGAGCACGGGACTCCCTCCCAGCCCCCTACCACCCACCCCAACTGGTGGCACTGGGACTCCCCCAGACCAGGAGCCCCCGCAGGAGACCACCGCCCCCCAAACTGGAGCCAGAAGGGTGCCCTAAACTGGGAATATCCCAAATGGGGGACCCCAAACTGTACTGGGGAGCCTCCCGACTGGGATTACCCCTTACTGGGAGCACTGGGACCCCACAAACACCCCCCCCCCAAACTGGGATACCCCAAAGCTGCCCCCCGGTGCTCTCAGCTCTCCCCCCCCAAATCTCAGCTCTCAGCCCCCCAAATCCAGACCCAGCTGTCTGGGAACAGGGGGGTGGAGGCAATGACCCCCCCAAAAGGTGGGGGGCACCCCAAAAAGCTGCATTTTGGGGGTGCTGAGCCCTCCCCCCCCTTGCTCCTGCCTCAGTTTCCCCCCTCCAGCACCGACTCTACCCATTTGCCCCCCCCAGCCTCAGTTTTAGGGGGGGGGGTTGCTCAGGGCGCTGCCCACCCCCCGGGGAAGAAGAAGCAGCGCGGGGGGGGGTGATTTAACTCGTTTTATTGAGACTCAAACAACGGAACTGCGCAGCCCCACGGGGCTGGGCACATGCGGCGAGACCCCGGGCGAGTCGAAACGCAGCGGGAAGGCTGGGGGGGCACCGGGGGGGGGTTCGGAGGAGGTGGGGGGGGTCAGGGGGGGCTGCGCCAGGCGTGCTGCCCCCGGGGCCGGCAGGCGGAATGGTCGCTGGTGAAGACACTGAAGGGGTTTTTAGGAGAGCTGCCCGCAGTCGGAGATGGTGATCTGCTTGCTGGTCTTGCCGTCCTTGGAGCCGCAGCGCTCCATGGCCTCCACCACGTTCATCCCCTCCTTCACGCGGCCGAACACCACGTGCTTGCCATCCAACCTGGGGGGGGGACACCACCACAGTGTGTCCCCCCCCACAAGGCCCGCAGCACCCAGGGTGGGGGGGTCCTGCCCGCTTCCCCCCCCTCCCCACTCACCACTCGGTCTTGGCCGTGCAGATGAAGAACTGGGAGCCGTTGGTGTTGGGGCCGA